TAAACACAAACTACTTACTCTTATCTTCAAGCTTCGTTCTGAGCTGGTCCGATATGTGTGCATACGCAACACTACCAAAAATCTTGAAATGAGCCACTGATGGCTTTAGACCACTCCATGCTTCCTGTGGGGTTTTATCATTCACACTTGAATGCAAACATCTATTCTGCACGTACACAACACGTTGTACGGCTTCTCCTCAAAACTCCTTAGGTATATTCTTAGTCTTTAACATAGAACACACCATATCCAAGATAGTCCGATTCTTTCTTTCAGCAACTCCATTTTGCTGTGGTGTGTACGGCGCGGTCAGGAACCGTCTTATCCCATGTTCTTCACAATACCTTTTAAAGGCAGTTGAAACGTACTCGCCACCTCGGTCAGAACGGACCGACTTGATGTATCTCCCGGTTGCATTTTCTATCATCACTTTAAACCTCTTAAAGGCCTCTAGCACCTCGGACTTCTCCTTCAGAAAATATACCCAAGTCTTACGATTGAGATCATCAATAAACGAAACAAAGTATCTCTTTCCGCTGAAGGACCCCGGAGTTATGGGTCTACACAGGTCGGTATGTATCAACTCCAGAGGCTGCTTAGCCCTGTATCTTTCCATCCTTTGGAACGAGCTTCTTGCGTGCTTACCTAGCACACAGTCTTCACAGAACTTTCTTTCAGAATTTATCTTTGGCAGTCCCACTACCATTTTCTTCTTCATCAGCTCGACTAGACCACCGTAATGAAGGTTACCAAACCGTCAATGCCACAGAGACATCTTATCCTCCACCTCGACTTGCAGACAACAGACCTCCACGCTTCTCAAACTCAGCTTGTACATTCTGTTCTTTTCCATCTGAACTCGGGCTATCAGACGCCCTTGTTTATCTTTCAATAGTAGAACTCGGTCTGTCATTAGAGCCGAGTAACCTTTCTCCATCAACTATTCAATGCTCAAAATGTTACTTTTGAGCTCGGGCACATAGTACACATCTCGAATTGTTCCAACCCGTTCATCCTTTTGTAGAAAGCAGACCGTACCACAACCTTTCACATCAATTTTGGACGCGTCTCCAAAAGAGACATGTCCGGCTTCCACTGTTCTCAACTCTTTGAACAAATGTTTGTAACCACACATGTGATTACTGGCACCAGTATCCAAGTACCATTATGTTTCATTCTTCGAGCTAGTTTCACCATGTGCTAACATCAGAACTCCTCCATCTCTTATTTCTCCTTCTGTAGCGAAGTTTGAAGTCTCGTCAACTCTTCTTTCATCTCGACAATCTTTAGCAAAATGTCCGACTCGGCCACAGTTGTAGCATCTGTCCGAGTTGCAATCTTTTGCGTAGAGATTATACTTGCCACACTTATAACATTCTATATTACTTTGATTCGACCACCGGCCTCTTCCACCTCGGCCATGTCCTCTACCTCTCCAGTTTTGCTGACTCGTCTCAGCTCTTTCTTCATGTTTCACCTCCTGACCTCGGCCACGACCACCTCAGCCATTTCCACGTCCACCTCGTCCACGACCTCTACCTCGGACATTCTGAGAGTACAGCACCTTTTCATCCTTAATTGTTGCTTTTGTCTGGAGCGCTTGCTCAAGAGACTCCTCCTTCTTTTTCTTCTTGCGTTTCTCATGCGCTTCTAAAAAAACCGGCTAGCTTTTCAACAGAAAGTGTAGCCAAGTCCTTAGACTCCTCAATTGCACATACCACGTTTTCGAAGTCGTCTATCAACGACCTCAAAATCTTTTCAACAACTCTGGATTCGGTCAACACCTCTCCATTCCGTTTCAACTGGTTCACCACAGCCTGAACCCTGGTGATGAAGTCCGACATTCCTTCGGTTTCCTTTATCTTCATCCTCTCCAACTCTCCTCGAAGAGTTTGAAGTCTGACCTGCTTCACACGGTCCGCGCCTTTGTAGGATGTCTCCAATATATCCCAGGCCTCATTTTCCGTCGTTGCGCCTCCAATCTTTTCAAGACCACCGCTTTCTTCAATAGCTTGAAACATCATAAAGAGTGCCGCTGCATCCTTTGTTCTCGACGCACTCAACTGCTTGAGTTGATTTGTTGAATATCCTTCCGTTGATTCAGGTTCTACGAACCCATTTTGAACCAACCCCCAACTGTCATAGGCTCTTAGAAGAGCCTTCATTTGGATTCTCCAGTTTTCATAGTTCACCTTTGTCAGGCAGGGCACTGGCAGACTATTACTTATATTCTCAATTGGCTCAAGCTCTGATACCAATTTGTTACATGCCCTATAACTGGTGCTCACACACAAATACACAGGCAATTCTCTGAATATACCTCTATTCTATTACTGATTTTTCCAAACTATATTACAAGATTTATAGTGTGCTATTTATAAGCAATAACAAATGATTAAGAGTGATAATGACTAACATAGAAAATCTAAACATATTAATTGTCCACTAACAGATACCTAGGGACACACCTCTTCACCATAAATCTTTCATTTTCTATTTTTCTTTTATTTAATTTAAAACCTATCCCAACAACTTTGACATTGTCAAATAAGGACGTCAGCAAGTAACATTTGTGTTGTATCACAGGCTTCTCTATCTGAAGACTTAAACCTTGAGGAGTGTCACTTTGAATCTTTGCAACAAAAGAGACACCCATATCTGCATCAGAATAATGTCCAGCAGCAAAGTAGTGCTTCACAGTGATCATGTAAGGAAGCTCTTCATCATCATCGATTCTCTTTTCCCTTATAATAACAATAAGACCCTTTCGCTCATTGTGATCATGCCCATACAAGAAAGAAGAGGTTTTGATTACCCCACCTTATGCAATAGGTTCTTTGTATTCAGGAAGTTGCTACATGCAAAGAGGTCCATCGAGAGTAAGGTCTCCATACAGAATTAATTCAACTCAAAAGTTTAAATTGTTAGGTAAGGGACCTATTTAATGGTTATCTTTTGTGTTTTTATTTAATTTCACTAGAAAGTGGGGGATGGTGATCGAACTCGTAAGAATCATTTCTACTCAAAACTTAATCATTTCAACTCAAAATCTTAAAGTATTGGGTGAGGAACTTTTTATAAATGGTTCTTGGTACTTGGAGGCAGAGGGAACGCGGAAGATTCATCGACTCGTGTTCGTGAGCGGCTGAGACGGATCAACATCAAGTCTGCACTGGGGATATTGAAGATTCACCAATCATCTATGGAGTTTGGGGAAGCTTTATTTTTTTTTTCGTTCTTGATATTGCTATGTCTGGCTAGTTCTTTTAGTAGTTAGGGTTAGATGAAATTCAAGATATTTATTATGCTTTGAACAATTCGTTATATTAATTTTCCTTTTTATCATGAATGAAATTATCTATTTTTAATGCTTTATATGAACTTGAATCTTGTATATTGATCTTAGGTAAATGCATGACAATAGGAATGTTGGTGTGTGATCCATATCTGATAATTTCATCGTAAACGTTATGATTCTAGGGATAGACATAGGGTTTGCGTAATCTTTATGGTTCTTGAACTTAATGCTTACCTTCTTGGGGAATAACCGGGGAACTAGGGTTCTTGTAAGATTATAAAGGTTTAGGGTAACAAGGGATTGAGCCCTAATTACATAAGAAAGAATTGATTAGATTGATATTAAGGATGATTAACGTAAAGAAGGAATTCAAACGTAATAAAGAGATTGAAGGAAGTTGAAACCCTAGCTACGTTCTTTTATATTAGTTAATTCAAATCTTTAAATTCTTGCTTTTAATTTCTTGCGAGTACTTAGTTTCAATATTTTAAATTTCAAATTCAAATCCTGTTTCAAATCCAATTTTGATTGTCCAACTTAAGTTGCTATAGTGAATTAGTGCTTGAGTATAATCCTCGTGGGAACTATCTCTTATTTAATCATTATATTACTTGTACGATCAGTGCACTTGCCGCGAGTCCCAACAAGTTTTTGTTGTCCTCTCACAATTGAGCTTGAAAGATGGGTGATGCATGCTAAGAAATTCCACACAAAAATGAGGGGCGGCGGAGATGATCAAACCTGGGATATCGAGAGTCTGATGATATCATATAAAGAACTAAATGAATCCAAAAGCTTAAATTGTTGAGTGAAGGTCTTTTTAATGGTTTATATTATTCTCTAAAAATGATAGAAGTATATCTTCTTCAACACTTACGACTTCATCTGAAAATCAACGTTACATCGAGGTGTATGGTCATGGAGTGAAATGCATAACTCATCGTCGCGCTTGTTGCGTTTGGTTTTGGTCAAAGCGAGTTCACAACGTGTGTTTCCTACTGAGTATTCCGCAGTCCAAGCGTCCACAACTTGACGCCCTTTGAAACTACTCTTGGTTTTGCGTACAACAATGTCAGAAGAGTTGCCTAGAGGAAATCGCTCAACGTTATTACTCACACCACTGTGAATGTTTCCCATGATGGAACGTTCGCCAACACTGCATATGCCACACTATAAAACTAGAGTGGTTGAATGAACGGAGAATGTTACTCTTGATTCTTGAAGGTTATACAAAAGGCCATCTCAATATGTGGCTTGTTTTGCTAAGATGCACTTATACAACACGATTACGTACGAAGAATCAGAATCGTTTGAGCTAGCGAAGCCTTGATCTCCCGCAATAGTTACTTTTTGATACAACAGTGGATCAGGAGCCCAAGTCAAGGAGAGTAGCAGGGGCCCCTTCTTGGGCTAAGGACTTTTGTGCTTACTAGGCCCATTAGCTAAATGACTATGTTGATGAGTTGTTGTTAATTTGTAAGTTTGCCTACGTGGCTTAAGAGGGGAACGATGGGTGTATTGGGATCAGGGTATTATAATGTGAGTCAACAAACCAGAATTATGCATTCAAAGAAATAGATTCAGACTAGTTCTCTTGTTTTTCCCTGATTTCCACTGTTTTCCCAATCGATCTCCATTGAAGGGGTTCGCGTCTTTTATCATTGGTGCTTTCATCAATTTCGGGCTCAACAAGTGATTCACCATGCGTGTTCAAGATCTTGCTGAGGAGTTTGGCTCATTTCAACTTCGCATTGATCGAAGTTTGGAGGAGATGCAATCGAAGTTTGATCAGCGTTTTCAGGAACATCAGAGCCAGTTCGCTGGGCTCAATACGCAACTCCAGCAGATACATGCTGCGGTTGTTGGAGTGGAAAATCGTCATGGTGACCCTAATCAAATACGTGGTACGAATTCGTCTTCCTCTTCTGATTCTTCTGGAACACATCTACCACGATTGGATCCTCATGATCCAAGGATTTTATTGAAATCAATTCGTATGGAGCTTCCTATTTTCAATGGCACAAACCCTAATACTTGGATTTTTCGTACGGAGTTATACTTTGGCTTGCAACAAGTTCCTGAGGCGGTTAAGGTGCAGTTAGCTGGAATGAAAATGGAGGGCGTAGCAGCACCATGGTTCCAGTGGTTGTTTAATGGTGGCTCTATTAATTCTTGGGAGAAATTGAAGGTTGCGGTTAATCAAAGGTTTGGGGGAACGGCGTATCAAGATTTACGAGGAGTTTTATCCAAGTTAAAACAGGAAGGTCAGCTCAGTGATTATATTAGGGATTTTGAGGCATTGATCAACCGAGTAACGGAGTTTTCGGATGAGGTTCTCATGTGTTTCTTTGTCTCCGGTTTGCTACCTGATTTGAGGAGGGCTATTCAGTTGCATTCTCCAACCTCATTACATCAGGCCATGCAACTAGCGATCACATATGATGCTCATTTTGTGGAATTGCGCTCATCCTTTTCATCGAGTGGGTTTAAGAAGAATTTTTCGAAGGGTTCTTATTCTGTGGAGTATCCACAACCACTCCAATCAAGTGGTTCAAGTCAGAAGCCTGTAGTGCCAGCGTTGCCTTCAACAGCACCGGCTAGGCGTTTTTCTCATGAAGATTTACAAAAAAAGAGGGATTTGGGAATTTGTTACACTTGTGATGAGAAGTGGACACCACGACATCGTTGCAAGGGCAAGCTCTTCCTTCTGGTTGGGGAACCTGAAGAGTCAATGACTGATGAAGTTGCGGAGGAGCAAATTGTGTGGAAAACAGATGCAACTCATGAGGATTCTAATGAAGCTGCCTTGCATTCCCTTGAGGGTGAAAGTAATCCTAGAGCACTTCAGTTTCGTGTGCACTTTAGAAGCAGGTTAGTGGCCATTCTTGTAGATTCGGGAAGTTCCCACAATTTTATACAAAAACAATTGGTGGACAGCATTGGATTGCCAACAGTGAAGGTCCCTAAGATGCATGTATTTTTAGGGAATGGGGAGTTTTTAACATGTGACAGGAAGTGTTTATCTGTTCCTTTACAGATTCAAGGATATGCCTTTGCTATTGATCTTTGGGTAATTGAATTATCCAACTTGGGTGTGATACTGGGAATTTCTTGGCTGAGTAGTTTGGGCCGAGTCATTCACGATTATGCAGAATTGACGATGGAGTTTATGACCAGGGATGGTAGAGTAATTTTAAAAGGAGAAGGGTTTGGTGAAGCCAAGGGACCACCTGACCAGCAATGTTTCTACATGCAAGGTGATAATGCAACTGGGATAGTGCCCGAACTGATGGAGTGGAAACCGAAGGTACCTGTTGCTATATGGAATATTTTGGTGCGTTTCCAGCCTGTCTTCCAGTTACCCCAAGGGCTGCCACCAACCAGGGGTTGTGATCATGCCATCCATCTAATTGAGGGAGCTAAACCTGTCAGTGTGAGACCGTACAGGTATGCTCATCACCAGAAAAGGGAGATTGAGAAGCAAGTGTCAGATTTGTTAGCTTCTGGTTTAATTAAGGAGAGTAGGAGTCCTTTTTCATCTCCTGTTTTGTTGGTGAGGAAGCAAGATGACTCTTGGAGAATGTGTATTGATTACCGTGCGTTGAATAAAATTACAATCAGGGATCATTTTCCAATCCCCACTATCAACGAGCTATTGGATGAGTTGAATGGGGCAAGGGTATTTAGCAAGTTGGATTTGCCCAGTGGATATCATCAGACTTTGTTGAGACCAGAAGACACTCTCAAAACAGCCTTCCGAACTCATGAAGGTCATTATGAGTTTCTAGTCATGCCCTTTGGGTTGACTAATGCTCCTTCCACCTTCCAAGCGGCTATGAACCATATGTTTAAGCCTTTCCTTCGGAAGTTTATTACGGTATTCTTTGATGATATCTTGATTTACAGTAGGTCTATAGAAGAGCACTATGAACACCTTTCTGTGGCCCTGAGCTGTTTGCAAGAGAACCAGTTCAGAGTGAAGCTTAGCAAATGTGGATTTGCATTGGAAGAAATCGATTACCTTGGTCATTTGGTTTCTGGACAGGGAGTTAAGGCAGATCCCAGGAAAATTGAGGCTATGCTACAATGGCCAAGACCAAGAAATGTGAAGCAATTGAGGGGATTTATTGGACTCACAGGCTATTATAGGAGGTTTATTAAACAGTATGCAGCTATAGCTTCCCCTTTGACTGATTTGTTAAAGGGAGACTCATTTCTGTGGAGTGAGAAGGCTGAGATTTCGTTTGAAGAATTAAAGAAAACCATGTCACAGACCCCAGTTTTAATCTTACCTGACTTTTCTGTTCCATTTGTGGTTGATACAAATGCATCATCCTTGGGCATAGGAGCTGTCCTTCAACAGTATAATCGGCCAATTGCCTTCTTTAGCAAGAAACTTGGTCCAAGAATGAGTGCAGCCTCAACATATGTCAGGGAATTATTTGCAGTGACAGAGGCTGTGAAGAAATGGAGACATTATCTCTTGGGATCTAAGTTTATCATAAGAACAGATCACCGTAGTTTGAAGGAGCTGTTAACACAAACAGTTCAGACTGTAGAACAACAAAAGTACGCATGCAAATTGATGGGGTATGACTTTACAATCGAATACAAACCAGGGGCAGCCAATACAGTGGCAGATTCATTGTCTCGAAGACATGAGGGGGAACAACCAGGTACAATTTATTCCCTAATCTCTGCACCTATTTTTCAATTGGTCGATCAAATTAGAGGAGAGAACCTCTCTAATTCTGAGTTGATTAGCATGAGGCTGAAGCTGCAAAATAACGCATTAGGACATTCTGATATAACTGAAAGAGAGGGGATCTTGTATCATAAAAATCGTTTTTTATTTGGGTCTAATTCTGAATTAAGGCAAGTTGTGCTGAGGGAGGCACACTCCACACCTATGGGGGGCATGCAGGAATTACTCGTACCTTGCTTAGACTTTCTGCTTCTTTTTATTGGATTGGCATGAGAAAAGATGTAGAAGAGTTTGTCAAAAAATGTTCTACTTGCCAGTTGGTGAAAACTGCCACTACTCCTCCATTGGGGTTACTCCAGCCTTTACCTATACCCGAAGGGGTCTTCGAAGATTTGAGCATGGATTTCATTACAGGGTTGCCAAATTCTAAAGGGTTTAATGTCATTTTAGTAGTAGTGGATCGGTTGACTAAATTTGCGCATTTTGGGGCCTTGTCTCATCCTTATACAGCTGCGAAGGTGGCCTCCTTATTTTGTGAGATGGTGGTCAAGTTGCATGGATTTCCTAGGACCATAGTTTCTGATCGGGATTCTGTTTTCTTGAGCCAATTTTGGTCTCAGCTGTTCAAGTGCAGTGGGACAACATTGAGAACAAGCACAGCCTACCACCCACAATCAGATGGGCAGACTGAAGTTACTAATAGATATTTAGAACAGTATCTAAGGGCCTTTTGTCATGATGAGAATCATAAATGGGCTTTTTTCTTAGGTTGGGCAGAGTACCACTACAACTCTGCCACTCATTCATCTATTGGTATGGCTCCATTCCAAGCTCTGTATGGCAAGCCTCCATCTATGATACCACCGTATTCAAGAGGATCAGTGAGGGTGGAGGCAGTGGATGCTACCTTATCTCACCGTGATGAGTTGTTGAGGCGGTTGAAAACTCAATTGCAAGGTGCTCAAAATAGGATGAAGAGTAATGCTGACAAACATAGGAAGGATGAATTGTTTGCTGTTGGAGATCTAGTGTTGGTGAAGTTGCAGCCTTATAGGCAAATTTTTGTTACTTATCGTAAAAACCAGAAAATCAGCAAGAAATACTTTGGACCTTTTCCAATAGTCAGAGTCTTGAGTCCTGTTGCATACACAATTGGTTTCCCTGATGGTTGCCGTATCCATCCCTCCTTCCATATATCTTCACTCAAACGTTTTCTTGGAGATAGTGATGTGGTTGCCATACCTTTACCAGAGGTTAGTCATAACAACCTACCCATTCAGGTTCCTCTTTCAGCCTTGATGTCACGAGAAGTGCAGGATGCAATTGGTGTTCGTAAGCAATGGTTGATACAATGGTCACACTCTCTTCCTGAAGATGCAACTTGGGAATTTGAGGATGATCTTATAACACACTATCCAGAATTTCCTTTGCAAGCAAAGAACCTTGAGGACAAGGTTCCTTCTGAAGCAAGGGCGAATGATACAACAGTGGATCAGGAGCCCAAGTCAAGGAGAGTAGCAGGGGCCCCTTCTTGGGCTAAGGACTTTTGTGCTTACTAGGCCCATTAGCTAAATGACTATGTTGATGAGTTGTTGTTAATTTGTAAGTTTGCCTATGTGGCTTAAGAGGGGAACGATGGGTGTATTGGGATCAGGGTATTATAATGTGAGTCAACAAACCAGAATTATGCATTCAAAGAAATAGATTCAGACTTGTTCTCTTGTTTTTCCCTGATTTCCACTGTTTTCCCAATCGATTTCCATTGAAGGGGTTCGCGTCCCTTATCACTTTTCTTATTTATTCTAGGTAAAGTGGCATCTTTAGTATTCATAAAATTTGTGTTGGATCACTTACGAAGAATCAGAGTCCTGGGAGCGAAGCGTTGGTCTTCAGCAATAGTTACATTTATGCTGTGTAAAGTGGCATCTTCAATATTTATAAAATATGTGTCGGGATAAATGACTTTAATAAATATTAACTTTTATGAATTCAGTTAATTGTTAACTCGGGGTGTTGTAAATGAGTAAGTTAAGTTAGGATTTAGCCTAAATAAGTTAGACATATATAATAATATTTCAAGTTTGTCTTAACTTACTAATCTGATAAAAGTTAAACTATAGGTTTTCCCTGATTTGTTTTTAAAAAATACAATAAGCCTTCAGAAATGACATCTTATATTCTGTAAATTGTAAATTATAATTAATTTATTTTTTGTATGGTTAAATTTATGGAAAGTCAAAGTTAGTTAAAGCAACACCACAATCCAAAATATTGATAATTTTATTACGTTAATCAAAAACAAAATAATGACAAGGATGAAACTTAATTAAATTCCAAAACAAAGAAACATATTCACGCACTCATGTATGACATAATCTCTTTTGATAAAAAGGAAAATTGCGATGATGGCAAAAGCCAAAAGATAAAAATAATAAATTATTTAGCAACACCATTGAAACTTCATTAAGAGATCCAAATTTTGTTAACTTTTTTGTTTCATCCATAACACATAGAATAGGTAATATTGCCATTAATTGAATGGAAAAATATTTCTGCTTTTGTTGCAAAAACAATTTATCTGCCACATCAACTTAAAGTGGGTGCGTTCTATTAATCTTTTTTCTCTCTTCTTTTACAATGGGACCCACCAACTTTTATGCGAATGTGGCACAAATTTTTTCTTTAACAAAAGCATAAACATTAAACCCTTAATTGAAATAGGTAAAAGAATTATGTTATATGAAGTTGGAATGTGCAAAAAAAACCAAAAGAACTTACTCTATTGTGAACTGAATGTACAATACACTAATTTTTTTTTTTTTAAGAATTCATCAACTCAACTGATTTTCTAAAATAGTTTATGAACTTGAACTATTTTTCAAAAATCAATTCATGAACGAAATTGATTATTTTTTTTCTTCTTCTCCTCTTCTTTTTTATTTCTCTTTTTACTCTCTATTTTTCTTCTCTTATTTATTTATGGAAAAAGTGTTTGTCATTTTAAATGACATAAAGTTATGTCATTTTAAGAGAGAGATAGACACAAAATAAATTTTTTATTTAAAATTTAAATTAAAAAAAAACCACCCACTTTCTCTCCCATGATTTCTATTCCTTGTGTCTAGGGGTGTAAATATGCTAGGCTAGGCTTTGGCTTAAATATGCCAGGCCTGTGTAAAAAATATTGGGTATGACCTGGCCTATTAGCCTGTGTAGGCCCCAAATTATAAATATGGTCTGATCTATGTTTAAAAAATAAAAGCTTTGGCCTAGGCCTGTTAGCATGTTTAAGCCTATTAAACATTCAACAATTAAAAGAATAACTAAAATAATATTATTTTATTATTCAAAATTATTAAAATAATAATTTTATTAATCAAAATTATTAAAATAGTAATTTTATTTATTATATTTTAAATAAATAATATGATATAGGCCGACCTGTAGGCTTATAGGCCCGATATGTACAAAGAAGCCTATGGGCCATGGCCTATTTTCTAAATAGATTTTTTTAAAAGTCTTGGCCTGTTCTATTTTACTATTTATAATAGGCCATGCTTGGCCTAATATAGGCTAGGTCGTAGCCCCTGTAGGGCGGCCTAGCCCATTTACACCCCTACTTGTGTCTATCTCTCTCTTAAAATGACATAACTTATGTCATTTGAAATGATAAACATCAAACCCTTTATTTATATATTGTCTTCTTTTTATTTATTTTTACTTTCTTTTATTTTCTTTTTTCTGTTATGTATTTTCTCTTTTATTTATCTTTATTTTCATTTTATATTATTATTATTTTTTATTATTTTTTAATTTCTAGTATTATTTATATGTTAATTTTTTTTATCTTTTTTCCCCTTAATCTTATTTACTTTTCATTTGAATTCATTCACACCCATGTACACTTTTTGTTTACTTTTGTTCTTCAAACTTCCGGACTTTGTTCTAAGGGCTTTTTCACCCTTTTGTCCCTCATTAATTATTTAATAATCATTTTGCCCCTTATTGAAAACCATCTACCAATCTGCCCCTCTTTAATCGATTAAGCCAAAAATTTAATCGATTAAGTGGTCAAAATAGGCAAAAATCGTTGACTTGAAAATTTAATCGATTAAATCTTCCTATTTAATCGATTAAACCTCCCATACATAAGGTTGTTCTTCTGATAAAGAGGAAGATTTAATCGATTAAGTTGAAGATTTAATCGATTAAATCTTCATTTGACAATTTAATCGATTAAATATTCAATTTAATCGATTAAAAGGGGCAGATTGGTAGATAGTTTTTAATAAAGGGGTAAAATGGTTATTAAATAATTAATGAGGGGCAAAAGAGTGAAAAAGCCTTGTTCTAAGCTATTTAATTAGGTGTTCAATCCTCTTATACAAATTTTTTGTTCTAGTGATGTATACTAAACTTATGGACATTGTTCCAAATTTAAAGAACATGTTTGAGTTATTTTTGTTTTGTGTTTTGACTTTTATCTTTAAAAAAAAAACACATAAAACACCTATTTAAATAACTATTCTACAAAAAAATTTTAAAAACAAAAAAAATCAAAATACAACCAAACAGACCTCTAGTTTTTTGACTCACGACATGATGTAAACCTAGTTTTTTTTGTTGAACCAATATAAACTTTACTGATATTCTCCTTCCCTGTATCTCTTCTAGTTTAAGCTTCATAATTTTTTTGATTTATTAATTTTATTATTTGATAAACAATAGGTCAAGGGCCTAATTAATTTCAATTCGATTTTTTTTTTTAATACAAGTTTATCATGTTACATGAACACTATTCAGCATTCCTGCTGATACATCAAAAATCGCACTTTCCTTTATTATTATTTTTCTTTTTCTTCTTTTGAAGTGGCCCACCAAAATCTCTTCTCTGCAGGACTACTATTCATTTTTCTCGTAACATAACAAACTAAAAGCCCTTGTTATAAACCAAAAATTATCCAAATTAACTACTTCCCTTAACTTTATTTAATTAATTATGTACCTTAATTTTCTATTCGAGAGCTATTGTACACCTGTCTATTATATATAAAATTATTTTGTAAAAGAGATCCTAATTTATAATAGGGTAGTCCCTGTCGCGAATATGATAGAATAAGAATATAGAGTTTAATGTTTCTCGTATTGTAAGAGATAAAATTATCTTTTATATATATATATAAAAATGTGTGATACTTATATTTTTTTCTCTCTCCTCCTCGTATGGGTCTACATGGGCCCTATAAACTTTTACAAAGCATCATAAAGGCGGTGACCGATTTAGTTTACAATCGAAATCAATCGGAGGATAAACATGAAATGAAAAATTGAGGATGACATAGAGGGGATGAGAGAGAAAAAAACAGAATTATAAGGAATAATTATGGGCCGTTAGATTTAATTTTAATCTAACAGTTAGGAGATTGGTTGTAAAGGCGATAAACTTACCTAGTAGTAAATATAACTGTTCCCATATATATATATATATATATATATATATATATATAGGTAATAATTTTATCTTTTATAATATGAACAATATTAGTCCTAAAACATGTTCACATCTACTTTGGAAAGACAGAATATTCCGTCAATTAAACCTCAACATTACCGTATTGTTGCTTTATCATTTAACAAGTTTAACTTTTCGAATAATTGTTAATATATAATGAAATTTATTATACAAATTATCAATATCAAAATTAAACAACTAATTTGAAAAGTTTTATACTAATATATCAATATAATTATAATAGAAAATCATTACTGTAGTTGTTCCAAAAATATTTATCTATCACATATTATATAGGAGAAAGGATATTCTTACTATCAAAATTTTCTACTACTAACTTACTACCTATCTAATCACCATTGAATCAAAGAGAGAGAATGCTAAAAAGTTTTTGAAAAAAAAAGAAAATATTGATCCAATGATGATTAGATAGGTAGTGAGTTGGTAGTAGAAGATTTTAGTAGTAAGAATATCCCTCCTCATTATATAGCTAGTACCCATAGTACATAGTGTAATTTTTAAAATTAACTTTATTACAGGGGGATCCATTCCCTTTTTTGTGGGACCCACTGTTTTTTTTATGAGAGTGGCAGGGGGACTTTATATGTTATAGCGGCAGAAAAGTGAATCCGTATAATTAAACTTTTTTTTTCTAAATTTTACCTATTGTATGCTTTATTTGAAGCATTATACTTTGCTAAGGTCTAAAGAAAACTTCAGTATAAAAATAGGAGGAAGGATGTTCTTATTATCAAAAAAATTTATTACTAACTTACTACCTATCTAATCACCATTGAATCGAACATATAGAATGCTAAAAAGTTTTTGAAAAAAGAGAAAATATTGATCCAATGATGATTAGATAAGTAGTGAATTGATAGTAAAAAATTCTAGTAGTAAGAATTTCCCTCCTCTAAAAATAGTGCTTAAAGTATCTCAATTAGTTTACAAAAGGAGAAGAAAAAAGCAAATGAAATATTTTATTATGAGACGTTGAACTCTCTCTATAAAACCTTACAATCAAATGCTTAAGCGACTTAGGCCCACTTTTTATTGAATCCTCTCCCTCTCTCTCTCTCTCTCTCTCTCTCTCTCTCTCTCTCTCTCTCTCTCTCTCTGTGTGTGTTTTTAATCTACATCATTCGGATACTCATATTTTGCAAGATACGTTTTTCTGTCGCCTCCGCCATCGATGGCGTTTGAAAAAAGGGAGCGAATATTAGCCTCCATGTGGTATTCCATCTTGCCCCTCATTCTCGAAATGAGTTGTTTCGTGTAATCCATTGTAAGCTTCACAGGGTCCTCCACTTCAACATTTAAACCAACTCTTATGTCCGTTGTTATTTTTACTTTAACATTGTAACTTATATCATCATCAATTAAAACGGCGTATGTGGCCTTCACCTTTTCAACTATTTCATTGTCATCCTTCTTCTTTTCCAGAGTGAAACAACCTCCTGAACCTGTCTCACGACAAACATAACACAAAAAAGTTGTGTCCGGCAAAGGTGGCATGCAATAATTCTCCTTAAACGAATCATATGTACCCGCAAGTTTAGTATTTGTTCTACATAAAACACCATACCTGTCATTTCTTATGATCTGTAGGTCCAAATTGGCAGAAGAACCCTTACCATTTTTTTCAGACAGGTCGAGACATACAAGGTTAACACGACGTGCACAACCAATTTCAGTTATGTTCAAAGAAATAAGTCTCTTACCCACTGTGTATGTGATGGTCCTTTTCACAGAGAAAATACCTGTTTTGTTGTCAGCTACTTTCTCTGTGAAGTTGTTCACTTCCAAAGGAGGACCAGAATTAAGCCTGATAACTCTCTTATTCCCTGCCATTGTTGCTGCAACGCTTCCTATATGACTACTCTGTTTATTTGATTATGTGCTCACAATCAATAATGGCCTTTGCACCATTGCTCATTTATAGGTGAAACTGAAACCACTTAAGGATTCCTAGCGTTAAAAGAAAGCAAGGCATATATATCATCAAGCATATGGATCAACGAATAAGAGGTTATTCTAATTTAATTAATGCTCTCGAGTTTGTTTGAGTATCGGGAAAAAGCTTACTAAAGAAAACTTTACCACTCATGCTAGTCCAATAATTGATGAAATGAAATATATATATATATATATATATATATATATATATATATATATATATATATATGGGTTTATCATCTATCATTTAACATGACCACAAAAATTTTCCTACACACACAACATTTTGTGGGGTCCGCAGCAAAAAAAAAATAAAAACTTCGGCACGCAAAACAAATCTCTATAACAGAACATAATCACTTTTCCTACAACATAACTCTTATAAAACCCTATATATATATATATGGGTTTTGTATCAATTATGTTACAGGAATGCACAGTGCATTTCCTGCACAAACAAAAAAAAGTATGGCCCACGAACTTTTATTTCTCTCTCCTGATCTTACATTCTCTCTCTTCTTTTTGCTTTGTGCAGGAAATAGACCATACATCATGTAACATAACCGATGTAAAGCCATATATATATATATATATATATATATATAGGGGCAGGATATTCTTACACCGGTGTAAGAGTTAGAAATCTTACACTCAATCTTGACCATTGATCCACTTGTATCCAATGACTCACATTACTAAAAAATTTGAGCCCTTAGGTATATGTGGGATTAACGGACAAGATTAAGAGTGTAACTTACACTGGTGTAAAATGATCCTGACCCATATATATATATATATATATATATATATATATATATATATATATATATATATGAGTTTGGTGTTTGTCATTTTAAATGACATAAGTTATGTCATTTTAGGAGAGAGATAGACACAGAAAAACGAAAATCATGGGAGAGAGAAAGTGAGTGGTTTTTTTAATTTAAAATTCAAATTGTCTGTGTCTGTATCTCTCTTAAAATGACATAACTTTCTGTCATTTAAAATGACAAACACTTTCTATATATATATATATATATATATGAGATAGGATCCTTTGACACCGGTGTCAAATTTTAATTTTGACACCTCATCTAAGAGCCGTTAGATCAAAAAAGATCAACGGTATCACATGCTTGCAAATTAGAGTCGTTGATCTTTTTTGATCTAACAGCTCTCAGATGAGGTGTCAAAATTGAAATTTGACACCGGTGTCAAAGGATCCTATCTCTATATATATATATATATATATATATATATATATATATCAAATCTTATGTTAGTTCTACGATTCTATATATCATGATACAGGATCGATGTTCCTTTGGATTAGATAAATATTCTTCTCTATCGTCCAAAAAAAGCGAGCATCTATGAGTTTTACTAATGCCAAAAAATTATATTTAAATTCTGTTTTCTTTTATGCTATCATCGATACAAATACATTTCAATAATTATAACGATAGAATTGTATTATTTTAATTAAAACGATTATATTTTATGATAAGAGAAACAGTTACATAATAGAAATCATGGAGGGATAGAGTGAGAGATTTTTTTAAATTTAAATATTAAATTAAACAAAGTAGTTTTAACTAAAATGACTATCCTGGACAAATATTTCCCCCATGTATATTTCATATATTTTTAACTATGGCACATGAAACTTCATTAAAAAGTACTTATTATGATATCGTTTAATAAAAAAAGTTCTTAATGTAATTTTAAAACTACTTTTAATTAAATTTTCTATTGCCATGACGTTAGAAATACAATATAAAATATTAAAATTATTCATATATGTTCACCTAATAGCTTAAACTTTTAGACTGAATCAATATTTTACATGGTATCAGAGTCTTGACCAAATGATCACGAATTTGATCCTCATTACCTTCGTTTTCTAAAAATATTAACACACATGCTTAAATCCTAAAAAGGCTCTGGGTTGATGGGTCTGAATTATCCATAATTCAATCCCTAAAAGTGCTCTTGATGTGGTGGTGGGTGTAAGAACCCGCACCGTTAATTAAAGTATTTAATTAATTAATTATGTGAAAATAGGAAATGATTCCATAATTGACCCTAATAATTATTAAGAGGCTTTAATAATTATGGTAAGTGATTAAGAATGCTGAAAGTCGCTTTTCGGAAGAAAAGTGCAGATACCGGTTCTGCTAGTCGGTATAAATGCGTACCGAAAAAGTATCTCAGAAAATTAATGTAAGTGCATGATAATTAGTAGAATAATATATAGGACTTGTACAACGAGTTTCAAGTCCAAATAATGAGAAATGATGCCAGAAACTGATACTGGCTATGAAAAACGCGTACCGGGAAGGTGCTCAGAAAAAATATAATAAAAATATGAAAATTCTTGTAAAATTGAGTAGGTTATGAATCCAGAGTTTGGGATTAAAATCCTAAGCGTAGCAATTAAAGCTAATACTGTGTGTTTTAACCCTTAAGTGACCTATAAATACAATAGTTGGGCACAAAACCCTAGGTGTTTTTTTGAAAAAAACTCCGCCGATGAGTGTGGCTTTCCTTTAGAGTTTTTTGGAGTCCTAACCTTCTTCTCTAAAGTTTCCATTTTTTTTCTTCCTCTCTTCCATTAAAACACCACTCATCCATTAAAGCTTTAGTTGTGTTGAAGGAGAACCTTTTGTTGAAGATTTGGGTGCTTTCTAAACCTCTAAAGCTTTCATTTTTCTGTTCTAAAAAGAACGAAGGTAAATTTAATTACCCCTTTGTAAATCCATAATTTTGGGTATAATCTTTGTTGTATGTTACTGTTGATTGAGCAACCATGTTAAAATTAAAAGTGATTAGGGTACTGGGCGCTGCTTTCTTCTTTACATGGCTTTTTGTTTTGTCACTTTGTATGTACTGGGATCTGCGAGATTTTAAAATAAAAATTATGAACTAGCAATTCGGTCAGTGTTGTTTATTAGAGATGAAGGCACTTTATGCATTCAAGTTGGTCAAAGTTGTTTTTATATATATATATATATATATATATATATATATATATATATATATTAAAGTTAATTACTATACTTGAGTCCACGAAGGAAAGCATGCTTACTTTATTGTTATATAAATACATTTAAGAACCCTCAGGGAGCCGTATGTAATTTCGTTCCACAGGGAGCCATGGTTTCGTTTATATATATATATAAAAGACAACGCATATATTACAAAAAAAAAAAAAAAAGACAACGCATACAATACATACGGAAGTCATTTGAATTGAAAAGCTTGAAAAGTTTGTAAAGTTGAAAAGATCTACAGGGAAGCCTTCGTTGTTCGTTTAATATATATATATATATTTTGTTACAGGAGCCTTTAGTTGGAAGGTGTTATATATATATATATATATATATATATATATATATATATATATATATATATATATATATATATATATATATATATACATAATAAATAAATAAATATATTTGTGGCTATATAAATAATTATATTTATAAGATAATAAGTATCTTAAATTAAATAAATTGAATGGTATGTTTTAGAAAGGACCTCCAGGTTCGAAATGAAAAGGAAAATAATATTTGATTGCCTTGAAATTTTAGAATATGTATATTGATACTATGATGGTCATTGAACCAGATCTGTGAGTGCATTGGATTCTATTTGTGGTGTGGACCCTTGTGATACCGAGTTCGAGTCGGAGGGGCATACGAGTACATGTAAGCTTTTGTGTCCTCGGTTTAGCCATGTTGTGGTGCCACCATGTCCCATGGGGACATGGTATATGCATGCTGTGTTACATGCTTTTGATGTTTTGGAAATGTTGTTGAGCTATTGTATGTTAGTGCCTTGTTGATATGCATGGAGGTGTTCCACCTATACGGTAAGCCTGAGTATGTAGAACATACAAGAGGGTGAGGCTGTGGGTGAGGTGCAAGCGGTGTTCCTTGTACTACATGTAGGGAATAGACGTATTCATACATTTCTCTGGCCAGTAGAATAGTGATAAACACACATGGCATGAATATCTGTTGCACTGCATAGTTTTGGACCTTATATTGAATTACTATTTTTAGAACTTATATTGCACATGTAAGTGAGCTTGGGGTGGAAGATCCTTGAGAACCCCTCGTCTTACTGAGATTTCTTGTTTAGAGATCTCACCCCACGTTTGGGGAACGCTTATTTCAGGTTCAGGTAATGTTGAGACCTCAGGCGGCAGGAGGCCGGAGCTGAGTTAGATTTGCTGTTATATTATGCTGACATGTTGGATGCTGGATATGCCTGCTGCTTTATGTTTTTAGTTCGTGTTATGATTATGATTATCTTGTTGAGACGCTGTTGATTTGGTGAGCATGGGGCATTTGGTATCAGAGCCTGGCCCTGGACCGGTGTGTACAACGGGGACACTGTATTCTCAGTGGGGGAGGATGTAATGTCCCACATCGGTTGGAGAGGGGAACGAAGCATGCCTTATAAGGGTGTGGATACCTCTTCTAGTGTGAGGCCTTTTGTGGGGTGTCCCAAGAAACAAAACCGTGAGCCCGAGGGCAAAGCGGACAATATCATGCTACAGGGTTTGGGGCTGTTACAGTGGGCCTGTGTGCATTATCCATGTTTTAATCCTATATAAGACTCTTACATAAGAGGTGTGCTAAAGATATAATATATAACACAACTAATTAATGTGACATTCACTTAATAACTTAAGATTTTATAATGAAATAGTTCTTTACTTTGGTACCCGATCCAATGGTTGATTGGCTGGATTGAGTAATCAAAAATGGTGACCCTATGAATAATCAAAGAAGCTTTCGCTTGAGGGGGAGTGAGTGTTGGGTTTTGGGCTCACACTTGAGTGGGACAATATTGGATGTAAGTGGTGAAATCTCACATTGATTAAGAATGTATTAAATGAGAAACATATAAGTGAAAGGATCGAT